ATTCAACGAACCACAGAATATGACCTAGACAGTACAATTATAGAAATTTTAATATATCATTTTAAGTTTTTATGACAATAAAATCAATAGCGAAATAATAACAAAATACTGTTAGAAACCAGCGGACGACCAGTTAAAATTATTGATTGCTGGATATTTTTCGATATTCGTTTCGTTAAATTCGTTGAATAAAAGTACAAATTATTGGACTGTATACGCGTTTTTAGTATTTTATTATCGTTAATTTCTAACATCAGAAGTGGGATCGTGCTTTATTAACGCCGATAGTGGACTGTCGACTTGTGTTTTGGTGGGGAAAACCACTTTGTGCTTGTGAATAAAGAGAACAATCGTTGTTTAAACACAAGCAATTGACGATGGCGTCCAATGATAGAGATGGTTCAACTAGCCAAATTTTATTGGAGCTATTAAAAGCCTTGAGACCTGAAAGTAATGATTCCCGCAAATGGCCAAGTCATGTTGATCATATTAAAAAGGGAATTGACTATCTGTACAAATTTTGACAAAAATTGGAAGCTTTCTGTTAAACGATTCGAAAAGATGGTTTGAACGATGGGATCCAGATATCAGGGATTGGGATACGTTTCGAAAAGGATTGGTGGAAGCTTTTCCTTCAAAAAGGAATCTAGGGCGGTCATTAAAAGATGCAGTTAAGTTCGTTAGTTCCCATGTTAACACTTATGAAACTTATGTTCATGAGAAAACAAACATGATAAAAAATTTACTTGCGAATTCGTCCGAGGTTGATCTGGTAGAATTATTTATTTACAGCATCTCTGCGTTAGAGGTACGAAACGAGTTACTCGTATTTTTGTCATCATTTTTTAAACCTCATCAGTCATCATTATGTTCAACAAAAATCAGCCATGAGGAAACGTAATTCATCAAAAAGGAGATTTTCCACAACTGACTACCACAGCACTATATTGCGGCAAAATAGGGCATGTTAAAGATGACTGTCAGAATACGAGGGTTAAAACATTGACTGAAAATAACACTACAGCTTCTAGATATGTTTTACCTTAAACCTCCCAAAACAAAGATGAAGTTTGTGACTTTTGTGCCAAAAAGGATCATAACGTTTCTAACTGCTTTCTGAAAACTGCAGTAGATAAACGCCACCGTATAAATTTTTGCTCCACCGACAAATCCATTGGCGCAACTGAAATTGTTGTAATTGGTCATCGATTTTGGGCTCTTGTTGACACAGGTGCAGATTTGTCCTTAATGTCGGAAAAATGTCTTTATCTATTTGAAGAAAAGGTCAGCTCTTGTAACGTGCTGCTTAAAGGAATTACAAGTGCCACAATTATTGCAACTAAGAAGTTCACAGATCTTACAAGAGTCTCTAGAATCGAAATTCCCGTAACATACTTCTTTGTTTCCGACATATGTTTGGACTATGACGTTTTGATTGGGCGTGACGTCCATGAGGATCCAAGCTTGATTACTATCACCGATTATCAAGGTTCTTGAATAGAACGCAGGAATAAATAGAATTCTAATAAATTGGACGTTATAGTTCCTTCAGATTCCAGACTAAACTTAAGGAAGTGCTAGACCACTTCGGCGGTATGATTACAAGTGGAAACAAAGTAGGTGCAGTTAACAATGTCACTTTAAAGATCCGATTGCAAAAAAAGTTGTGATTAATCGTGCTTCATATCCATTATCAGTTGGTGAAAAAGAGGTTGTGCGTGGAATAATTGATAATAAAACAGCATGCAGCGCAGCTAACCAAACAAGACATGTCATTCCCGTGGGACGAAGAACAGGAGATTGCACGACGGTATGTCATCGAGCATCTGACATCGAGACCGTTGCTGGCAATTTGCAACCCAAAATTGCCTACAGAAATGCACCCAGGCAGAAGCAGTTTGAGTTATGGAGGAAATCTTATTCAGAAACTTCAAATTCAACCCAGAGTGGTTTCCTATACTTTAATACAAGAAACACAACGTGCGAATCCAAATACCATTCTTATGGCTTGGAAACTTTGGCAATAGTCCGAGCTGTCAAAAATTTTTGCAGTTACTTATGTGAAATTTGTGATAATTTCCGATTGTAAGGCAGCAATGATCGAAATGGATTTCTTTGGATGGATTGTGTGCCGTAAAGTCAGCAGTTTACGCCATGTGATTACCTTAGTAGAAATCCTATTGTCCGGAGAATCACGAATCAAGATTGGGCTTATATGGAACAAAACGGTAGCGAAGAAATCGAAAACCTAATACAGCAGCTTAGCAATGGCCAGGCAGAGCATTATATGATGACCATCAGAAACCTGTTTAGGGTTGAAACCCAGATAAAGTGAGAATGGTCGAGCGGACTATGGAAAATACAGTTGGTTTTAAATACTACAATGGAAAAATCGACAAATAAGGCTCCATTGCTACTTTTGTGGGGAATTCAAGTCTTATTGAAAAATTTGTCAAAAGACTTGACACCAGTTTGAGAAGTTTGTATCAAGTTCCGTTTTCCGTTTCCAAGGCTGCTAAGAAACAACTTAAAGTATGGCCCCTACAATGGACTCAATTTTGTGATATGCAAGGGATTCTGGAATTCATGAAAAAAAAAAAGATTCCAATTAGAATCAGTTAATCTTTGTTTATTTTTGAAGTTCTTTTTCTCCATTTTTGGCTTTGTCTCGGAAGTAGCAAAAATTACATTGCGGTCTGCACCAATACGTCCAATTTAATTTTCCTTTTTGACCTTTGTCTCGGAAGTAGCAAAGCCAGGTATAAGATTGCGGTCTGCGCCAATATATCCAGTTTGATTTTCCTTTTTGGCATTTGCCTCGTAAGTAGCAAAGCCAGGTGTAAGATTGCGCCTTACTCTAAATAAAATATGCATCACAAGATCTAAGTCATGATATGTCAAACAAATTTTGTCGTATTAATTTGTTTGTCACCTTTTAATAAGTATGGAGTAATTTTTGCTTTTGGTTCATAAAAGATTGTATTAGTAAACTCATATAGCGACTATATTTGTAGAGGCTCTGTCTATGCTGATAATACAGGAACTTTTGAAGCGATGATGGAAAAAAAAAATGTTAAGAAGGTTTCAAATTTGATGTAACATGTTTACGGCAGTAATGTTTCATTAAATGTTCTGGAAACCTCGGAAAATTATTCTCTACTTAAAAATCATTGCTGTCTGAGGCGCATTAATTAATAATATATGAGTGAACCAAAAGGAAAGTTAATGCTACTGTCTCAGGCGTGACCTCATGCTCAAGGAGGGACTAGCTATAAACACCGGCAAGCAATGTCGAACTATATCTTAAGTATTACTATTATTATACTACTTGCATTGTTTTGGGAGTAATAGATAGTAGTAGTAGTATAATAATAATAACAAATGCGTAATAGAGCTAGTGATCCTCATTTCAGGGCTGTACTTTTTGACCAAATAAGAGATTCCGACGACAAATTTGTCAAAGCCCTTTCAGTATTTTATGTACCAGATAATTTTAACAATTTCTCATTGCGACCTCTGATGGTTCTTTACTTTTATCTTTTTTATTTAATTATAGATCTTCGAAATTCACGTTCTTTCATACAATATTTCTTAGCTTTGCGTTAAAAGGTGCTAATTTACAAGCTTTTTTTGTAAATGTAAATTTTGTTTCATCGTTTTTACAGAAAAGCCAAGAAATCGGGGTGTGTTTTTTGTTGCATTATGTAACAGTTTTTATATTCATATTAGTATATTAGTTAGTATATTATATTTATCATATAACTTTGTCTGTGAAAAGATAATAAATGCAATAAATAAAAATATTCTAAAATAAATAAAAATACATCATCAGCAGGCGGTGTCTTTTCCTGAAAATACAGATTTTTTTTAGCTTTAAGACAAAAAAGTGGTTTTAAAACTGAAACAAAGTTGAGCTATCGTAATCACTACAGATGGACTTAAACGTGCAGATCACGTAAGACCGTTTATCGTTAAATTATAGTAATTTTGTCTGTGGCGAGAAACATGATTACCCACCAGTGTCTAGTTTCCGTAGGCGTCCTGGTTCAAAGTCCGCTCGATAGCGGACCAGTGTTTAGTCACACCAGCTCTGTATCTCGTTTTCGTACTACCGAAAGCCACAATTCGAGATCGGAGGACAATTATTATGTATTTAGACTCCAAGGAATGCTAATAAAGAAATTTTGTAATTTTGTTTTGTCGATAACATTCAAAAGCAACGAATTTGAAATAAACGTGTTTGTTTAATATGATTAATTCTTTTTCCTTTCGATAATGTATTGTTATATGCTAATAGCATTTGGACCAAAAAGCTTTTCCGCAAAATAAATCAAAAATCGGTGAATTTTTTTTACGTGGTAACTTTTGTTCGGGATTTATAAGTTTTTTCTTTATTTATATCAGGTATTGGTTTACTATGTACAGGGTGTTATCTAATAAGTTCAATAATTCACTGGGCGATTTCTCAAGTATTTTTAAACTAAAAATTTACTGTAAGCATGTTGTCTAAAACTGACTCGTTTGTAGGTACAGGGTGTCAAAATTTCATGTGTATTTTGATTTTTCCTGCATAATTTCCTAAATATTGACGATTTCTGATCTTAGATTGGTTCCTGGGTATTTTTGACGTGAAACATTGAAAATTGTTCTTAATTTTATTCTCACATGTAGGGAGCGCCAGCTACTCGTCTTTTCTCACTTTCATGTCTTTTTCTACGACCCTGTACTGTGTTTTTCGAAATATGTTTTTTTCAAGTAATCGATGCACGTGTTGTTAAAAAAATGAAACAATTTTGTAAAATAACTTTCCTTAAACAACATTAAACATACGAACCCTAAATAAAGGTTGTAATGTGATGCCCAACTCCACAAAGAAAAATAAAAATTTGGCAAAGTATTTTAGACCACACGTTTTTAGCTTAAAGATACTTAAATCAACCTGTGAAATTGCACACTTGTTGAATACCTCCCTAGATAGTCACTTATAATTCTTGTTGCAGGTGTGTGAATACTTAGGAATATCAAACGAAGCGGATTACTTTGGACTGAAATATGAAAACACGAAGGGTGAAGAATTATGGCTTAATCTGAGAAACCCAATAGACCGACAAGTCAATTGCCACGGTCATACGTCGCCCTTAAGGCTCGCTTTACGGGTGAAGTTTTGGGTACCGCCTCATCTTTTACTTCAAGAAACGACTAGGTGAATATTTTAGTACTTGTTTTTGATTATGGGTGCGGTAAACGGCATTTGACTCACGAGTTTATAAGACACGAGCGGAGCGCAGCGGAGCGAGTTTTTAATAAACGAGTGAGTTAAAAACTTTACGGAACGTGTTGCATACTATACTTTTTCTACGACCGTTAGTTTTTGGGTCCATTTTCGCAAAACAACACGAATACATTCACTGACATGACCGTCAGAATTGACAAATGTCAAAATTCAAAGCATGGGAAATATCTCCGAAAACATCCGATTGTTCCCAAATTCGTGCGGTAAAATCCCGGAAATGTCCGAAGTGGCTCGGATTTATGGGAAATGAAACTGACGTGGTAAATATAAATATACTATTCTCTACTCCCGTTTGTAAAATGCCTAATTACACACCGATCTAAAGTGCGGAAAGCGTCACTTTACCACTTTCGTTTCCCACGGATCTAAGGCACTTCGGACATTTCCGGGATTTTACCGCACGGGTTTGGGAGCAATCGGATGTTTTCGGAGCTATTTCCCACGCCTTCAATTGTGACGTTTGTCAATTCTGACGGTCTGTCTGTGAATGTATTCGTGTTGTATTGCGAAAATATTTCCAAAAACTAACGGTCGTAAAAACAGTATAGTATGCAACATGATCGGTAAACTTTTTAAGTCACTCGTTTATTAAACACTCGCTCCGCTCGTATCAAATAAACTCGTGAGTCACCGAAGAATTGACCGTCGTAAGGTCATATTTCTCAACGTTTTATCATGATGGCTTCACAAGTGCTTGCGTTGTCAGCATAGATGAAGCCCTCTAAACCTAGTTGCTCTATGGTTTTAACCAAATGACAGTTGTCTGCGTTACGGTAATCGAATTGGTACGTTTGGTTTTTCAGGCACCAGTTTTATCTACACGCGCGTTCTGATCTAATCGAAAAACGCCTTCTTGCCAATGATTGGAATGGTGTGTCTCGGGTTATCGCATTGATCGCTCAAGCCGAGTCCGACGATTACGATTCTCTTCACCCACCTCACAGCCTCTACCTGCAGGTACAAAATATAATCCCCAAGTGTAATATAGAAACTTCACCTATTTCTTAATGTGGTTATTTAATTAACTTTAATTTTAAGGCATCTACAGTTGACTGCGTAGACGCTTCGTCCAGGCCGAACAATCTTCTTCAACGGATCATCACTAATCACAAAAAAATGAAGGGCATGAAACGATCTGCCGCCGAATATTGGCTACTGAAAGAAATTTCGGAACTTGAGTCATTTGGTGAAGAGATATTCAAGAAAACGCACCCTAACGTGTTCGTTGGTGTCGGACCTCATGGTAAGTCAACCGCTGCCAACCGACGAAGCTTGAATAAGTACAAGAAGCTTTTCTTGACCTCAGTCAGTAGTTATTCAATTATTTCAGGAATTTGACGTGTTTCTCTACAATATCTACAGTCTATTTCAGAAAGGTGTAGAGTAATAAAACCTTATGAGGTATTAAAAGGGACTACAGAGTGAACCAACGAATACTTAAGCCACTGTCCATGTTTGGCTTTGATAATTGATAATTTTGCTTTGCGTACTACCAACGGATTTGGCTCAATTTATGAGTTTTGCCTTTTCATCTAAATCTAAATTTCCTATTTGTCATAGTTATTTTTTATCAAACTATCTTCACATTCTTAGAAAATATTGACTGAAGTTGGAGTGCACAATACTACTGAACCAGCGAAAAATATTTTGTAATTTTCACCAAAATAGTATCCGAATTCATGCCATCATGATAATCTCCCAAATAACACGACTAAAAGGTTAAAGCCCCTCTTCGTTTCCAATTGGTGGTTTGTTCCCTTTTCGTGAAGGTACCTTAATACCCATTGTCTGGCGTTCCATGGAAGCTTTGTATGTTTTAATTACTGTTTCATTGCAATTAATTTCCTTTTCTCCGATATAAATGAATAATGTGGGGCAATGTATCAGGTAATTGGTCCATAATTAAAAAAAACCATAAAATGCCTAAATTTACCTATGCCCTAAACTTTTCTAAAATAGCCTATGGCAGGATCAGACCTGCAAAGAATTCCTAATGGACATAGAATATCTTTAAAATAGGCTATTAACTGGAATTACATGTTCGATAACAAAGTAACAAATGATTGAGGCCCAGACTGAGTTGTACTTATTTAAATATCTTAATGAGTACTAGTTATTCAAATAAGCTTCTTTTAAATTTACGTTATTCCAGGTATTACAATTTGCGAGAAGAGTAAAGAAAAACAACTTATCTCGTTTACCAACATAATCAGCGCTTCTTCTCACCGAAGAACATTTAAACTCGAGTATCTATCGGTCGACAACCAAGAAACGTCTTTGGAGGTGAAGCTGGATTCTAGTCACGCTGCGAGCAGCTTGTATCGGGCGATCACTGAAAAGCATGCGTTTTACAGGTAATTTTCACTTAGATATTCAAACTTGAAACGGATAATATATAGTCCGTAAATTGATGCCCCCGTCTCTCGCGTATGCACTCAAATTTCATAATATAACTAAGTAAAGTAGAAACTGTCAAATTCGCGAACTGTCATCAATCCTATTAAACATAGCAAGGGCTTATTGGTTGAAAACGAGATTGTGTTTGACTATGCATGCCTATATTGAATGGCTCTTCTCAACATTTTCTACTATTATCACATTTTTAGAATATGTTGAATTTTCCTGATCAATCGCGCTACTCAATTTCTTCATTTACTTAAGACCCTTGCAAACAAGTCGCCCAAAAAACATGCTTGTGTTTTTTTTTTTTCAGGAAACCAGTTATTTAATTTGTGCTTTTTTATATAATTTTTTAACAACAAGCAATACAAAATGAAATTATAATTATCAGTTTTTTTTTTGTCAGACTCGGCCTCTTTTTGTTAAATTGTTACCAATCCGAAATAGAAAGATGATTTTTTATTAATATTGAAAGAACAAGAACAATTACAATTTTTTTGTTATTAATTTTCAGTTGCGAAACTGTGCGAAGTGCAGTAACATCTCAGTTTATCCGCGATTTGAAAGGTACAATCGTTTCAATTTTCAACGAAGATTCGACTCTAGGCAAGAAATATGTATTTGACATTCGACGAACCTGTCGAGAAGTATATGACAACGCTCGCCGCGCCATCTACCAAGAAAGTAGAGCTAGGTTGACTTTAGACAATGAAAAATGCGGCGCTAATATGTGTGAACGGAGTAATTTTAAGGTAATTGAGTTTTGTCTCTTAAACTTGGTGTTTCTTTTTGTGTTTAACACCTTTATATCGACAGTATGATATGTATGAAGTTATTGAAATATTGCCAGTATTATTCAATCCTTTTGATTGAGCAATGTTTTTCAAATAGCTTAACGGAACTGCATTGTTTGTAATCTTTTAAGGTCGAAGTTGGTTACAAGGAGACGATAAAATTTAGCACTTCCATAAGGCAGATGTCCTACCATTTTATTTAGACAAATATACCAGCAATGATCTGGTTCTCCGCTACTGGAGCACTGAAATATTAGCAAAATGTTTCAGATTATTGACGTTTGTGCAAATCCATGTGCCAAATTCGGTTTTCTTTTCTCGTTATTTATTACACGATCTACAAAACGAAAAGCAATGGCACGAAAGATAAGTTTGTGTTTGTGGACAGGTTATTTGGTCCTTGCTAAATATTCAGATTGTGCGTTAATAACTTCTTGACTTTGCATAGTAAAAAACGCTGCTTTTTAAACCTCATTATTCACAAGTTTATTTGTTTGTTATTTGTAATTGTTTAATCTATGCCTGTTGGCGATTTTACAATTCAGTAAGACCTCTGGTGGAAAAAATAGTAAGCTATTAACATTAAATAACAATTATCCTAATAATAATTTAGATGTAAACTTAAACCTACACTTTAGCACTATATTTGCAACATACCGATAATCCAGCTTTTCCACTGGAAAGCGATTACAATATTTAATCAGCAACCGACCCAGAAGGAACCCCCACAGTAGCCTGTGGAAGTTTCTTTGAAACATTATGTAATTAAAAATACATGTTTTGCATTTAATAATGCTTTGTCTTCTACAAATCTCAGACTCCAACAATACCCTTTAAATACAATAAATTGGATTTTATCGTAATATGTTCTTGCCTTATTTTCCACAAAGCATAGACCACAAAAACTGATAACAGGACTACAAATATAATGTTTTCTTCATGCTTAAGCAGGTAGAATGAGCTGTACAAAAGTTCCAAGGTAAAATGTAAACATTATGAAATACTTTCAAACGGCCACGTTTGTTTACTGTTAGCAGCGCCACCATCGGAGAATAAATTCCAGAATACCAATTAAGTGTGTAACGATTGGCTTCATTTGTTTCAGGATTCCGAGGAACGCCTGACGAGGTTTATTGAAGCCATGACGTGCAAAATTTGCATGGATAACAAAATAGATTCCGTATTCATTCCGTGTTCCCATGTGGTCGCATGTACCGAGTGCGCAGCCCGAATCGAGAAGTGTCCACTTTGTAGGACTGAAATTTCCCAGGCCCAAAAACTTTTTATGCCAGTGTGGTAGCCATTTTGTCTTCTAGGCTGACTCTTATATAGCAGTGTTTTATGAACGTTATCGAATCACACCGCACGACGTTGTTATGTTTGAGAAACACATGTGTAATCTTAGGGAAATGAAGATTGATCTCAAGTATTATTAGTGTAACCATAAAATTGTTGAACTCTATAAGTGTTTTCTATTGTATTTTTATGAATGTGTTCAGAAACGCGTGTGATGGAATGAAATCGATCCAAAAGTTTCTCGACTTTCGATAATTAAATTTGTTCATTAGCTAAATGACAGCGCTATTCAGGATAAAATCTTTGTGTTTCTCGAAACACTCGTTATTCCTAATTACCTTCTAGAGATAAATGTGATCTTATTAATTTTATATTAACAATAACCTCATATTGAGGTTGATTTTGTACTATTGTGCTGAAAGCGGCCTGTTTAATGTTAACACATAATTGATAAGATTCTGGATTTACAGTGGGTGTATCTTCTTTTGATATATTTTTTAAATGCCAAAAAACACTTGACAATATAGTTGGTACTTAATAGGATTATAGTCATCTTATCAATGCAAGGATTACTTGTAAATATATTATTTCTTTTTTTTTAAGTAAAATATGTTAGTTCGTTATACCTAGTTGGTAAGATGTGATAATTTTAGTTGTGATAAATTTTTCATTAACGCTTCCGATTTTTTCTTTTTTGGTGAAATTGCGGTAAAATATGCCATTTGTTACCACTCCTTCGATAGTACTTTTTACCCCTTTTTACATTAATATTGTTATTCTTAACCCGATACGGGTGCTAGATATATTAAATATGTGAATATTTTTGTTAACATTATTTTCAATCAAACATTATTTTAATCAAAATTTATATACTAAATGTGAATAAAACATTATCTGCAGTGGCTGTTTTTTTGTTCATTATAGGTCCTACTGATCTGCAAATAATCTGAAATATTTCGTTATTATTTAATGTACAGAAAAAGAAAAACAAATATCGTAGGAGCATAGTAGGAGACATGAGTAGCGGAAACGATCGAGTACCTACCAGCAATACATACCGTGTGCTATCGAAATGATATTGTATAAGCTGGTTGAAGTTGGTGCAGCGGATAAGGCACATATAACCTGAGTCATACCACATGTAATATGTAAATGAGCTAAATAAATGTTTTGCACGTAATTTATGTAAATTAACATAAAACATTGTCTGGTAGATATCAGGTTGTCAGTCTCACAGTGGCGAACATAATAGTGTTGTTCAATCCAATAAAGTTACAATGAAAAGTAGCCTTTCGTTATCCGATTTCGATCAAACAAAATATCGAATCGACATCAGTATGGGGTCCACATTTACTCGTTAGATTGAATTCTGTCATGTCCATAACATCCCAAAAACAGGCATAAAAAATATATTTTAGAAACATCAATCTGACTAGAAACGCAGCAGGTAGAGCGCGTATGTAAATATAGTTTTATATAGTGTAGATTATTAGAAAATATAAAAAAAAGTCCAAAAATTGTTTATAGTTCAATCAACTTTATGACAATAATTATTTTTCTGGAATTGTTGTTTCTTCAAAACAATAAATTTGACCTTATAACCTACAGAAAACACATTATCTAAGTTAAGCGCGGTTTAATAAGAAAATTATACGTATACGAGCCCTACCATACAAAGTATTTCACGTTGTGTGCTATTAAAAGGCCATGAGAACAAAAACAGGAATTTCACTGTGGCGTAGCGAATGGAATTTCAACCTTACATTTTATTACAGATTTGAATCTTACATATTCTATAACTAACTTAACTTTCGTTAACATCTAGCTAATTTATCTCCGATGATTTTTGAAACAAAAAATTTTAACTAGCGGGTGTCATAGATATCATTGATCAAAAGATGTTTCCTTAATCAAGCTACTTAGGGTAGGTAACTAGCAAATAGTAACTAGATATATAAATACCCAGCCTATACCGACTATTAATTAATACGCACATGTGCGATCATTTGAAATCTCGTTTTTATCCAATAAGTTATCCGACAGTTCGACAAGTTTCATGTTAGATGTAGAATTTTCATAGCAGATCTCGTTAAGTGTTCTGAGTAAACGAGTTAACTGTTTGGAAAGAAAATGGCGCAAAATGGGTGAAACTGAGCATGTGCATAAGATCATTCCCATCTGCACGGAAATATCCCAGCCGCCCGAGACGTACCAATTAGTATTAGGGCCACTATAATATCTGATAACTATATGAGGTAAGCCAGAAGAAAATAAAAATTTTAAAACCATGGTAATGTTATAACGAATAAAAGACCTTTTCGTTTTTGGCTGAATAAGTAAACATTGGATTCATTTTCTTTTCTAATTTTCGCAACGGATTTCAATTTGCCACTATTTTAAGTCCTATTCGTCTGAAATCGTTTGCGCTTGTTTTTGGATAAAATAAATCCAAAAATGTTAACAATGATAATTCTTCATGTTGTCTAGTAAATTGAACACATTTGTAATCTCAAATAATCTACTTTAAATTCTTTGAAAACATCCAAAGGAACTCTAACCTCCCGTTCTAGCTAAAAAATGTTGCCAATTTTATTCATTATTTATTTCAGTCAGTCATTTTGTTTTAATTTTACAATACAATTAAAAATATAAACAACAGGTCCTTTGGGGAGGCTACGAAATTATGAAATTTTAGATACCTACTATCTAAGTTACATTTATCTAAAAAGTGAAGTAACTGAAAAAAAGTTTGATATTCGCGGCATTTTAAAAAATTTATTTAAAGACGAATATAAAACAATTAAAACTTTTTATGAGTATCACAAAATAATCCTACATTGTTTGCAGAAAATCTGTGATTATTAAAGCCGCAAAAATTTGACGATTACTTAAGCGACACGCCCCGTAAGTTTCGGTCATTCGAGGTGGCCTCTTTGGTAAAACAAGGTCACAAAATTAAATAAGTTTAACAACTTTGTTGATGTAAGTACGATTAGTCAGCGCTTAGCATTAAATTATGTTAAGACGACGAGTCAATTGTCAGTAACGCGTAACAAGTTGTGCGATTCGAAATGATTTTAATAACAAATCTGCTACTTTTATTTTCAATCGCAGCAGCCGTTTCACCGCTTCACAACAAAATAGTTATTTGCAATTATGAGGCAAAATCACATTTTTGGGAAGGGCAGGGAAAATTCGACGTTTCGTTTTTAGAACCGGCTTTGCAATACTGTACCCACTTGGTTTACGGTTATGCCGCCATCAAAGAGGACACCCTCAAATTGGTTCCGCTTAATGAGCAGTTCGATGTCATCAAGGATAATTATAGACACGTTACTGATTTGAAAATCAAATATCCGAATCTGAAGGTTCTACTTTCGGTTGGGGGCAATGACGACGTGAGCGGGGAAGGTAACGAAAAGAATTTGAAATACCGCGAAGTACTGGAAACGGCATCCAGAAGACTGGCTTTTATAAATTCAGCATATATGATAGTAAAAGGTGAGTTTGAGGTCGTTCTGCAAAGTCACCTTCAAAGTGATCTACCGTAGGTATTTGAAAGCGCAAACTCACATATGCGAAAGTATAGAAATAATGAGAATGCAGAGAAAAAATGCTGTTAAAAATTCATTTGTTTTAATTGTCAATTTTTTGATGGTAGACATGGTGCAAAATGGGCTTGATTATTTTGGTGGAATTTTTTTATTTATATATTTATTTTTTAAATTTTGATACTATAAACTTGAGTATAAACGATACTTTTTGGCATTTGTTAGTTCGAATGACTAAAATTTATGACGGGTGTATAAGGAAAATCCGCAATCCTAATACGACCAAACTAGAGAAGTGAGGATGTTTGTGTGAAATACTAAATAAAATCCAATATATACTAATTATATTAATTTATATATTTTCTAAAACCAATTTTTGTGCAATGCTCTTACATTTGGATCTAATTTAGTTTACATATCGAAATATTTAAACAATTTTTAAACAAATTGTATATTGGTTTGTTTTATAATAGTTTATAATTTTCTTGCTGATATTTTGCAATTGCTACAGTTTTTTAACCAAATTGTTCATTGGCACTTTTTATAAACATATATTTGGGAAGCGAAACTTTCATCTGCAATTACTAGACTTGCGATGAAGGAATTAGCGTTCTGTCTACAAGAGGATCTACAGTTACTTTTTTTTTCACTTAGATTTTTCCTGTGCAATATCTCATAAAGTTAAATTTATACTTTTATCTTCAGTGATTTCGACTTTGTTTATTATTTACACGCACACAAATTTGGGCAAAATAGCTGGTAATTTTATCTGCCAAATTTAGTAGTAGACACGTTGCAATATTTATATGAAAAAATACATGTATAAATTGCATCATGTCTACCAGGCTTTGGAGATCTCAATATTTTTTTAGTTTTACTTTTATCATTTTTTTAAAATCTCACAATAGCAACAACATAAAAAAAAATCCAGGACGTTTAGAACAATATCTTAATAATATATATGATTTTTGCTGAGTCGGATACATTGATTAATTGAGTTTTTATTCCTTTGTAGCATACGGATTCGACGGCATCGATTTGGCATGGGAATTTCCCGAGACCGACCCAAAAAAGATAAAAACAGGTTTCAAAAAATTCTGGTCGTCGGTGAAATCAGTGTTTACGTCCAAATCGCCGATAGACGAAAACGCGGAAGAGCATCGAAACCAATTCACAGCATTAGTCCGCGAGCTGAAGAATTCGTTCAAGCCCGACAATCTTTTGGTTGCCCTCACCGTTCTACCCAACGTAAACAGCACAGTGTACTACAGTCCCAGGGAACTGGCACCTCATGTCGACTTCGTTGTTTTGCACGCGTTCGACTTTTACACGCCTCAGAGAAATCCGAAATTGGCTGATTTCCCCTCCCCACTCTATGAGTTGATCGACAGAAGATCCGACGAAAACGTCGACGCGTGGGTTAAATACTGGTTAAGTAACGGATTCCCGCAAAACAAACTGGTACTCGGTATTCCCGCCTACGGTAGGACCTGGAAGTTGGACGAGGATGCCAAGGTCGACTCTGTACCACCGGAAGGTTTGCACGGACCCGGCGAGCCTGGCCCTCAGACTAAAGATGCCGGTATCCTAAGTTATCCGGAAATTTGCACCAAAATCGAGAAACCACAAGATTGGAACCCCGCCGCACCTAATCAGTTTAAAAAAATCCCAGATTCCACCAAAAGGCGCGGTTCTTATGCCTATAAACTTCCTGACGAAACCGACGGCGGCGGTATATGGATAGGATACGAAGATCCCGAGTCTGCGGCGAACAAGGCAACGTACGTCAGGAATAAAGGACTGGCTGGGGTGGCCATTGATGATTTGACTTTGGACGATTTTAAGGGAGTTTGCGGTCCAAATAAGTACGCAATACTAAGAGCCGCAGTTTCTGCTTTGTAGACGAGCATTTTGTAATGAAAATATTTTTCCGTTTCGGTTGAGCAATTGTCATTGACTTTTATCTCGACAAATACATAATACTTAACACTACTTATCGGTGGTTTTGGTTTAACTTTTAAAGCATTGGCGTGGCATACATGGTTATGTGAACCGGGTAGTCGGGTAATTCGATTTGTAGGTAGGTATACTTACTTTTTTTGGAACATCCTGTACACCTAGTCAGGACAAAGAGGTACGGTATCAAGGAAACGGACCGTATTTAACATTAAAAAAAAAATTATTAAGTAAATCGGACAAGAGAAAATGCTGGAAATTATTTGCGAGTTTCTGAAATGCCCACCAGGGGGCGTAATTGGTATCTTAAATTTTAAAACTCTGTTCCTACAAACATTTCTAGTATTAACCATTACTAAAATGAGTACTATATTAAAGCTGAGACAAATTAAAATTATTTTTGTTTAATGTTGTTTGCACGATCTCCGCAAAAAAAGTGGTGAGGAGTTGTTGGGGTGTGGATCAGAACGGAAAGACTATTTTCTTTAATATGCATATATATGATATCAGTACACATACAGATATCGAAAATACAGAACTTGTCACACATCTTTCTTTACATTGTTATGGTCCCGCACTCTCCTATGGCGTCACAGAACACTCTGTCCTTGCCGCTCCGTGCACAGTGTTGCCAGACATACTATGTACAATATAAATGTATCCCATACTTAATACGCATCCTTACATTTATGTCGTACTCACATTATTCTTAAGTTTAGTTTCAAATTAAGTTTAACATTTTTTAAACTTTTCCACATCCGCAATATTTTCATCAGTATCCACTTTAATTATATCTATAACAATATATATATATATATATATATATATATATATATATATATATATATATATATATATATATATATATATATATATATATATATATATATATATATAAGCAATGCACCAATCAAATTTCTATATTTTATATTTCTTTCGCACGTATCTGATTTTTCAATTTTTAAACTTACTTCTATAGGAGTGTTGTAAAGTTTACTATTTTCTAAATTATAACGTTTAATTAACAATTTAATGTACTTAGTTTGGTTCAATTCCATTTTATATGTACTGTGCTCATATTCAACAGTAATACCCCAAGGTACTCTTTAATTTTCGTTTTATATGTATTTCACATTAAAGTTTTAATTTTTTGATTTCAATTTCATTTTGGCCACAAAGTCAGTAAGTCATCCACAAAAATTAATAAATAAATGATTTCATTTCCGTCTACATAAGTATATAAACAATTTACAACAAAATTACTACTTGCAAATCTTGCCTACAGTCTATTCAGTCTATTAGAAACCTTATTTGAATCATTTTCATAACCTGTTGGTTGAAAAATATAAACTTTATTTTTCCATTTAAAAAAGCTGTTTCAACATCCATTTGCTCTATATTTAAACCCATTTGACAACATGATAGATGAGAGGGTATGATTATGGGCTAGGCCTGGAATATGGGCTACAAAGTTATTTCTGATACACCTGTAGACATCTATTGGTAAACTTGTCAGTTACATTTGCTTTAATATTCGTAACCGCCTTAGAAGTGACTGGATTCTTGTTTTCATAAGCGCAGTTTTGATTCTGTGCTGTTCAGTATCTAGCTGGGATGTTTATAAATTCTGCAGTTTTGGAGATTTCGGGTTGAAAGTAAGTGGCTTTTGCGGTTAATTTTTATTTTTAACGATCAAGATGCAGCAAAAGGTTTGTACTTTTAGATTTAGTTTTTAAATTTGTACCAATATAAGATACAAAATATTTACGAAGTTATAAAGTTTTTATGGGTAATTTCTAATAAGGGCTAATAATATGTTTTCACTATGGGCTAGCCGATATTTGTAGCAATATTTAAAATGGTGCCTTTGTTTTAGAATGCCGTGCAAAATAGTTTTGATATCTTCCAATGTGAGCACCAAGAAACAAAAGACGTGGGATACAGAGGATATGAAAATGGCTGTTCAAGTAGTAAGAGAGAAAAGTATGGGTACCTTGTCAGAAAGAAATAGCATAAAGCATCCATTTGGAAAAACAAAAGCAGCAGGTAGGGGCTGGCTAGATCTATTTTTACTAAGGCATAAAAATACCCTGTCAATTAGAAAACCTACTGGGACATCTATCGTTCGCGCCAAAGGGTTTAATACTTTTGGAAGCAGAGTATGAAAAACACAACTTTCCAGCTAATCGTGTGTTTAATGTGGATGAGACTGACCTTACTGTGGTTGAAAACAAGGTCGCTGATGTAGTCGTTTGTAAGGGTAAAAGACAAATTGCCTCTTTAACCTCCATGGACAGAGGCTCTTTAATCACTTTGATAGTCTGCATGACTGCAGGGGAGATTCGTACAACTCATGCTCATTTTTCCTAGGTTCAACTAATGAGAGGCTCCCCTCCAGGATCCATATCAGCATCACCCTAGTGGGTTTACGTCATTCGCCCAGTGGTTCAGACATTTCATCGACACGGTCAACTGTCTGCATCTTTGAATGTTCTAGTTTTAGATGGACATTACAGTCATACTCGTAATTTAGACGTCGTTAATATGGCGAGAGAATATCATGTTGTGATAATCTTATTACCCCCTCATTCAACCCACAAACTACAACCCCTTGACAAAACTTTCATGGGTGCGTTAAAGGCTTACTACAGGGAGGAGATTCGACAATGCTAAGAAAAATATTCTCACCTTTTGACATCTCACTAGTACCGATATCTTAAAAGAAAAGGTACAAATAGGGATAGGAAAGCATCGCAAGCAGTGGTAATTACTTCGTTCCCTTACAAAAACGAATTATTGTTGAGCACTGCCAATAAAACCACACAAAATATTAAACCAGGTAAAAGAAAGGTTTTTTTCTCAATCAACAGAAAAGATATTGTACAAAACATTGAATAATAGAAAGCGGCAATCAAAGGAAGATTCTGAAAGTGAAGATGATGAAACGCAATTTATCCCAGCCGATGAAGACGTCGATATTGATGATATGCCTGGATAAAAGAAGCCAGATGATTTAGATGCAGAATCCATAGTTTGTGAAAGCAAATTTTCTGAAGACCGCAAAAGTGAGGTCTGGATTCCATGTTTAATGTGTAATTTGTGGTGTCATGTCGACTGCACAGGCGCTGATAGAAACGATATCTGTGACTTTTTCGCACTGAATAATATTGTCTTATTTTGGTTAAGTGGTGTGTTTTTTTTAATCGTTACACATGAATAAAACAGTTGAGTTAATATTTGTAGGTATTTTCTGTAGTAGCCCATATTTGTAACACTTTCTCATTGATTGATAAAAACATTCTTTCGTGAAAATTCGAATAACTGTCAGTATAACTTATGTAAGTTTCTACTTGGTTGGCAAGCAAATAAAAAACGTGATATACACCAAAAATATGTCAAATAAACCAAATGGTAGCCCATATTTGTACCATAAATGTTATCAGTTTACTGAAAACCTCTGACTATTAACCTAGCTTTAAAACTATTATCAGACTTTCTCGTATAAACCCATTTAACATCTAAAACTATGTATGTATTATTAACCCTTTCAAGACAGTTGACATGTATATATATATCTATGTATATATGTATATATATATATATATATATATATATATATATATATATATATATATATATATATATATATATATATATATATATATATATATATATATATATATATATATATGATGACACTATATTCCGGGATATCATCCGTTCGCTCGTTGAACTCCGACTGGAATCCTGCAGACGTTTCGCCAAAATCTCACTTGGCATCTTCAATGCTCGCGCTCCGAAAACACTTCGAACACTTCGGAGCGCGAGCATTGAAGATGCCAAGTGAGATTTTGGCGAAACGTCTGCAGGATTCCAGTCGGATGCAAGATTTGCAGGATTCCAGTCGGAGTTCAACGAGCGAACGGATGATATCCCGGAATATAGTGTCATCACATTTTTCCATCCGTGAATCAATACGTGAGAATATATATGTATATATATATATATATATATATATATATATATATATATATATATATATATATATATATATATATATATATATATATATATATATATATATATATATATATATATATATATATATATATATATATATATATATATATATATATATATATATATATATATATATATATATATATATATATATTTGGACCAGCTGTGGCCAGAGCACTAAAAACGGTCACCAACACTAATAAAAGACTTGCACATCAACGTAACAGACGCGTTTTCTTGTTAGAATGCAGAAGATTGCACCTTACCCCCCGATTTTTGGAGGATAGTACACAACATTTTTGGAAGATACCTCAACGACTCAACCACAGTAACACTTCACAAATAGAATTTTTAACTCAGAAGGTAACACATAAATTACATAACATTACTATCTATGACACCTGTCGAGCAATTAAGATGTTGGAATCTAGACTTAGTTGGGCTGTTGATTTTTTAAGATGTAACATTCCATTTAGAGTCCTTGACGAATTTTTATATACACAAAACATTAAATATGACACACTATTTAACAAGATAAAAAAGTCTAATCTTCGAAAGTTAAAATCAAGGAAAGCTAATAGTAGTGATTTATATACCACTGACAATTCTAATTGGTTCAAGAATGTGTCCAATATTGAGATTCCTGATGATGTTAGGGGTTTTCTTTCGCTTGGTCCTAAATTAGCCTTCCTGTGTCACCTCAACATATAGATATTTTTAAACTACTCTCTGAGGTAGAAATCATTATCCAGAACTCAGATGAACAAAAACGAGACCTCCTGCGAACGAGGGCCACTAATCTCATCACTAATTACATTAATTCCAGTGTTGTTGCTAGTGTCGCCCCACCTACATATGATATAGAGCGTCGTACGAAACGATTTTTAAAAGCTAATCCTAACTTGGTTATCACTAAATCTGATAAGGGTAATGTCACGGTGGCTATGACTAAAGAAGATTACATAGAAAAATCTCTCATATTATTAAATGATGCTAACACTTACCTACCTGTAATAAGGGACCCTACACATTCAATAGAAACGCAATGCAATAATATTATCAAGAAAATTAACAACCTTGGCTATATTGATGATACCACGGCTCGTAACCTCAAAACCTACAATGGTGTCTGCCCCAAATATTATGGGTTGCCGAAGATACATAAAGATGGTTACCCTTTACGCCCTATTGTTTCATGTGTAGGTGCGTCGACGCAACCCTTAGCTAAATTTATTAGTCAAATTCTTTATAAGTCTTTTAGTAGCTTCAATAAGTTTAGGGTTAAAGATAGCTTTGAGTTTGCGGAGCGTATTAATGAGTCTATTTTACCATCTGATTTTTCACTTGTCTCCATCGATGTAGTGTCCTTATTTACTCATATTCCATTACAGTTAGTTGTTGATATTATAGAGGAACATTTTGACTTGGTTGAGCCTAACTGTACATTACCTAAGAAGGAGTTTTTGGATACGGTAACTTTTCTATATAATAATACTTTTTTCTCATTTGATGGAAAATTCTACCAACAAGTGAAGGGCCTTCCTATGGGGGTGCGGCCTCCCCTGTGATTGCTGAGATTGTTATGAACAAATTACTTTATTATGTGATAGACAGAGTTAGTTTTGAATTCCCCTTCATATATCAATATGTGGATGATTTATTAACAGCAGTTCCACTTAACCTCATCGAATCCACACTTGAAATTTTCAATTCCTTTCATTCCGATCTCACTTTCACGGTGGAGACGGAGACAGATCGTTCAGTCCCTTTCCTTGACACAAAAATCATTCGCACTAGTGAAAATTTAGTTATTCTTGATTGGCATAGAAAAGTTACTAGTTCCGGTAGATACATTCTCTTCACATCGTATCACCCTAAAAAACAAAAGATCAATATGATTGTAGCATTGACTGATCGCATTAAAAAAATTTGTCACCATAGTCTGTTAAATAAGAACTTAATGTTATTAAGGAACCTACTAATTAATAATAAATACCCACCATCGTTAATAAATAAAATTCTCTCCTGTAATAGTGCCACTACAGACCTGCCTAATGCTTTACAACCACAGCTTAATGTTAATAATGAGTTGCCTAGTTTTGGCAAACTACAGTATATAGATAGATTGTCCCCGGCTCTGATTAGGATCTTTAAAGATACTAATATAAAAATTGCCAATTACAACTTAAGACCCCTCAAATCTTTCTATTCCAATCTTAAAGACATTACCCCATCGTTACATAAATCAGACGTTGTATATTGCATTGAATGCTCTTGCAATTTAATTTACATTGGTCATACTTCACAGAAGTTAAAAAAACGGCTAACACTTCATAAAAGTGATTGTAAGTTAAACCAAGTTAAAACCAAATATTATTAGTTTAAGTGCTCATGTCAATGATACCGGACATAGTGTCATGTACGATGAAGCGGTAGTATTAAAGAGTGAAAAGAACCTCTTCAAACGTAAGTTTTTAGAGATGTGTTATATTAACTGTTGTAGTAATAGCCTCAACAGAAAGAAGGATGTTGAGGGTCTTAGTAGCATCTACACCTATCTTCTTAATCAGAGTCGTACTGCGAAGCATAAGCTACCAGAGTTTTTTGATACGGTCAGGTTGTAGTGGGTTGCTAAATTTGTTGCTATTAATGTTTAAAAACAGTTTCCTTTCTTTGTTTCTTTCTCCCCGTCCTAAAGGATTGTTTCTAATTACCCTTAACGTTAACTTCAATAATGTAAACATAGTTATATAAATAGTGTACAATGGGTGCATATTTGAAAGAATTCTGTTTAAAATTCCCTCCCTTGTTTGGTGTTTTACATATGTTATGGTTGGCTGTACAGTTGGTATCATTGACCGGTTTTTTGGTTGTGGCTTTTTTAGGTTATTGCGAATTGTTAATAAGTTCCCGCACATTTAGTTTTCCTTCTCGACAATACGGAGTGTCATTTGTAACAAATCGGCTGTTTTTTTCATCTTTTAATATTTTATCAATCCGGATATTTTATTGACCTTAACGTTTTATGTTAGTGGGATTGTTTTGTAACGTTGTGGTGGAGGTTAATATTTTTTACAATTGTAAATTTTTTCCATAAATTTCATCCATCGAGTGTTATGTTGATAGTTAGAACGGGCGAAACACTTTATTTTATATACCAATGTCATCTCTCTATATGTAGAGGTTGAAAGAGGCGTGTTGTGTAAGTTTTTTTTTCAATTAATGAGAATCCTAAAACTGGTGATAGATTCCATTAACTAAGAGTGTTGGAACAAATAAAGTAAAGATTTCAATCACAATTCTATCCTGATCCTTTGATAATATTGTTTTAAGGAACACTTCTTTTTAAGCAATATATAAAGCTGTATGTATGTCTGATGAAGTGTTTTTTTTTTGTTCTCTATATGACTTAGTGTCCTGATGGTGTTACCAGTAGCCCCGTTACTGTCCTTCGCTTCTATATATATATATATATATATATATATATATATATATATATATATATATATATATATATATATATATATATATATATATATATATATATATATATATATATATATATATATATATATATATATATATATATATATATATATATATATATATATATATATATATATATATATATATATATATATATATACATATATATATATATATATATATATATATATATATACATATATATATATATATATATATATATATATATATATATATATATATATATATATATATAAATATATATATATATATATATATATATATATATATATATACATATATATATATATATATATATATACATATATATATATATATATATATATATATATATATATATATATATATATATATATATATATATATAATCTCCAGTCTTTAGCCAAAAAATGGCAATGACAAATTCTAAAAAATTCGCATTTTTCAATTAATGAGAATCCTAAAACTGGTGATAGATTCCATTAACTAAGAGTGTTGGAACAAATAAAGTAAAGATTTCAATCACAATTCTATCCTGATCCTTTGATAATATTGTTTTAAGGAACACTTCTTTTTAAGCAATATATAAAGCTGTATGTATGTCTTGTGACTGTGAAACAGGATTCATTCTAGACTGTCTATATTGGCAAAAACATATAATTCAGAACAAAACATTACATGAATAGGAGTCACTGATAATATTGTAGCCCAGGTTATGAACCCGTATCTAAACATAAACCGTAAAAACATTATCTGCTTACAGATAATTTCTATAGCAGTCCGATGTTATATTTTCTCCACGAAAAAAAAAACAAATTCTTGTGGGACGCTTAGACCTAAAAGACTTCACATGCCGATTCCAAAAAAAGAAAAATTAGAAAAAGATGAAGTAGACAGGAGAAGTTCGGACATCTGGTTACGCTTGATAAAATTGACAATGTCACCGAAGAGCCCTTGAGGAAACCTGAATGTGTGGTTAACTTTAATAAAGAAATGGGAACAGTAGACCGGATATGATGATAAGCAGCATTGATTGTATGCGCAAGATCATAAAATGGTACAAGAAATTATTCTTTCATACATTGGATATCTGTGTGTTGCATGCACATGCCATGTTTTTGATGAAACAGACTTGCCCGGTGCCGCTTGCTAAGTTTCAATAAAATTATTTAATTAGTTTTATAAATTGTTAATTAGTAAAAAGTATTTTTTGCGTTTTTTAATTGGTCCCACATGTACATTTCTATGACCGATATATATGACATTCGTCCGCAGCACTTTTGTTCTGAAAGTCTTAACAACGTTTTCGCTAATTTTCAAGTTTTATTTTTATTTAAACAATTTCCTTATCCATATCCATATATCAGAATTATCGCTAATTTCATTACTCTCATTATGATATTCATCTCCATTTAAATCAATACCTTTTACAGTTTCCTCAACAATATCAACATGTCCAGCAACTATTCTATTGTTCAAAAGTACACGATAACCGATGTCACTGTACCCGATTAAAATACCCATATCGGCCTTTTTGTCCCATTTGGAAATTCTTTTGTCTTCCAATTTTTTCTTACAAAAACTTTACTTCTGTAGAAACGTAAATAGGAAACATCCGGTCTTTTTCCAAAAAATATTTCAAAGGGCGTTTTTTTCTCGACAGTATTTGATAAAGTACGATTTTTTAAATAAGTGGAGATTCTTGTAAATATCTGTTATAGTTTTAAATGTATTTTTAGTAATATATAAAACTGACAAGCCACTTTTTGTTGCTGGGCACTTTGGGACCAATTATGGTATTTTTTAGGAAAAAGCCAGTTTCCGTTGCTGAACTGCTAGAAGAAGCTAAAAAGTTGGACGAGGGTGAAGTTCAAATATTGCCAGAAGGTATATTTACGAGCTTGTGTATAACAAAGAGAATAGGCGCACTTTATTAAATATGGAGGACAATATACAAGAACAGCAAGAAGGTGGTAATGTTGACAGTCAATCGCAGTCAGTTACTAAAAGCATGCAACCTCTTAAAAAAAGAGTAAACCCGAAATAAAATTTCAATGAGAGAAGGGTGACTTGAATAGGGCAAATGTTTCTTGGAGTGGTACTCTGGTATCACCATTAACATTATCTAAAGATAGTCATCCTGTCGAATTTTTTCAACTTTTTAAGAGTCCGTTATTTATCGAAGAACTCGTGAAATATTAAAGTATGCCGCTCAAAAAAATGTTCCTGAATTATATGTGACAGAAAGTAAAACGATGAAATTTGAATGAAATGACTTAAAGATAATGAAAAAGGAAAAAACGGGAATTATGAACAGTGCGGTGGATAAGGACAAAGGAATCGTAGGAATAAAATGGAAGGGCAACAGTGTTGTCAGTGTTTTGTCACATGAGTACGGCGTTGAGCCTTTACAAAAATGAAAAAGGTTTTCGGTTCAAGAAAAAGTGAACGTTGATGTTCTCCAACCCTATGCAATAAAAATGTATAACACGTTCATGGGGGGTGCGGTTCAAATATATAATAATATATCCAACTACCCAATTGCCATGAGAGGCAAAAAGTGGTATACCCCCATACGGTATTGGATGATTGATTTGTGCGTTGCTAATGCTAGTCAATTAGCCCGCGCATATGGTTATGAACAAGAAAATCTTTATTTTCGAAGAGAAATTTACCAGTATCTTTTAAAGAAATACGGAGTAGAACCAAAAATGCCTGAGCCAAAGAGATCCTCTATATATGTAAAAACAAAACCACGAAATCGTGTGAAACTTGTCAAATTCCACGACAAATGTTTTGATAAATTCCATAAGATGTAACCACTTTTTAATGTTTTTTTTTTAATATAAAAAAAAAGATAATTAAGGCTTGTTTTTTATTCAATAAGCGCCCAAGGGGTCGTTAACGACGCATTATCAAAATAAAAAACCACATTTCTAAATATTTTTTTAACATTTTTTCATATCATGTTTTGTCGTTTTTTAATTCAAAACAATGAATGTAGTTGTTAAAAAATGTTGATAGTCCTGGGCATTAATGGGTTAATAACAATACCTTTTTTTTTAGCAAATCTGTAACAATTTCGAAAATGTCTTTTGCTTTGTTTCTGTTGTTTTCAAAAGGTACGTTGTGCATTTCATTTTTTCATAAATTCACATTTAAAATTTACCAACAAACGATGCCACTTTTCTTTTTGATTCATATTCTCAATACTTTTATTTGCAATATTTACCATCGATTTTGGAGATTATGACTTTAACTTGCTTTTCATCAATACTATCAATGACTTTTGTCATTGTACCCTTAGAAACAATTGAATTATTCTTAGTTATTTTACTGTAACTAATTAAGTTCGACTTCATATCTGTAACATAAAATACATGCTTCATATCAACTAAATTTTTCTTTCCAAAAGAATCAAAGTAACTTATCAACTAAATAAACATTTACAGTTTCTTTGCGTATCTTAAAATTTTCAAAATACTTTTGATAATTAATTATGTGATCCTTACAACCATTATATTTCATTACAGTCTACATTACTTATCTCTGCATTGTAAGCCAAATGATAAGCAATGATTGTCACCCATGCACTTTTTTCTGCCCTTGTTGGTTCGACCTATAAGTACTCGCTTAGCCTGACCTTGGTGGTTCCAGCGTCCTCTTCCACTTTTGGCTCCTCTACCGCCTCGCGATGATCGGCATGCGCTTCCACTGCTCGTTGGTGCTGCCATTTTTGCAATCCCTCTGTATATGACTAGATTCACATTGAAAACAGGTCCTTTCTTGTCGGTTTTTCTCTGATACAAACGCATTGAATTTTGTTCTTTACATGTTCTGTAGTTTGATTTTCTTTTAATGTATCTTTTAAATCACCAAAGTAACTATATGACTCTGGCAATGTATTTAACATGTAATTTAATTGCAGGCAGGTCGAGTCACGCGAATAAGTGCGAACGTGCATGGGTCAAAACTCAAGGCGCGTTCAGTTCTAAGCGCGGCTCGAAGCGAATCAGATTGTGTGTGATTTCAGAGCAAGTGCGAAGGCCAACTTCATTTTTCGCACAACAGCAGGCCCCACCAACTGGTGAACCTCGAGGTTTAGCTGAATAGTGTGTGCCCGCAATTCGTTTCGCACTTGCTCGCGGACTTACCTGGACACACTTGCGCGCGAACTTGCCTACATGTGTATAGCCCACAAAATAAATTTTTGTTTTCATTTTTTTCCTTTTTTTACAACAGTCTAATCAATTAGTGGTGTGTTGGTATTTCGGTCCACCTTTTAGTCCCATTTTGGAGGTTGCGAGGTCGATGTTAAATCGATAAAAATTCGTCCCGTGTTATGGACTCTCACAAGTCCTTAGGAACGAGGACAGTATTCGCCCAAGCGGAGTCCGTACTTTGGATAGTCATTTCTTAACTCTAGGCTCCTCTGAACGAAAACAATTTAACATTCAATCGACTCACTCATTGTCAAGTTTTGCAACAGCATTTTTGGGGTAGGTGGCATCGGGAGTATCTCCACCACCTAGAGCAACAACAGTACTACCAATCCTCCCCAAGTTGGTCAACTAGTGTTGCTCAAAGATGAAAATCTCCCGCTGCTCAGGTTGATTTTGGGTCGCATCACACACTGGTACGTCAGTAAGGGTAACCAAGTCCGCATTGTGCAAATATGCACCTTTCGAGGCGTTTTTGATCCCCTTGTGGTTATTATGTATTTAGTATTTGTAGGAAAACGGTTAGTAGACTTATATTACTATTTTTTGAAGCCGGAATTTTCAGAGTTCATGACATTTACGATAATTAAATTTTTGTGGTTTATTCGGCATCTGATTTGGGACACCGTATAACACCCCCGCCAACTAACGTCTAGCTAACGGGTAAACTTGACTCCGGAAGTGAATTCATTAATGAGTAATCACCGACATTTATCTTTGGCAAGCATATCAATAATACCTAATACTAACCAAAAAAACTCAAAATGAACGCAACATTTGTAAAAATTCAGGAGCCAAGTTGACGCTTCTTTTTAGGAAACAATCTTTTTTTCCCGCACTTACTTTTTCACTGTTGATTTGTGACGAACTTTGTGGTGACTGGTTGAAACAAACTTTCGCCATTAATGTTTGTGGTCCCCAAGCATCTTGGGAAGTGGCCAATATTTGTAAAATTTCAGGAGCCAAGTTCACGATTCTTTTTAGGAAACAATCTTTTTTTTTCCCATCACTTACTTTTTCACTGTTCATTCGTAACGAACTTTGTGGTGATTGGTTCAAACAAACCTTCGCCATTAATGTTTGTGGTCCCCAAGCATCTTGGGAAGTGGCCAATATTTGTAAAATTTCAGGAGCCAAGTTCACGATTCTTTTTAGGAAACAATCTTTTTTTTTCCCATCACTTACTTTTTCACTGTTCATTCGTAACGAACTTTGTGGTGATTGGTTCAAACAAACCTTCGCCATTAGTATTTGTACTCCCAAAGCATCTTGTGAGGTGGATAAAAACCTTTAAGTACCAACTGTGTACCTACAGCACACCAACGGAACAGAATGTGGGAGCTTTTAATTAAAGCCATTATTGAATTGAAGGTGTGTGTTGCTATCACATAGCTAGAGCTATATGGTTGCTATTAAACCAAATTATTGTGACCCAAAAGGCTTTACATTCTTTACCAGAAAAAGTAAAGGTAAACACCGAACTTATAGAAAATAAAATCAAAATGTATAACCCAAAACAAATATATTTCAGTGTAAAATAAATAAAACTATTCATCTGGAATGAAAACATCACTTTTTATCCTGCTTTTTGGAAGGTCCTTTTGAGAATATTGCATCTAAAAATAATCCACCAAACACTAGAACTGCACCCATCCACTGCTGACTGGATAAACTATTACCAAATAAGAGTACTGAGCCCAATACAGTAAAAAATTTCCTTGTTGTAGTCACTATTGAAACTGAAAGAGGCCCAAAATCTGATACCATGGAATATAGAAATAACTGACCAATTCCAGAAGTAATTCCAATTGCTAGTAAATTGTAGTAAACAAAAGGATATCGTGATGCAAATTTCAAAAATATAACAACTTCATTTGTCAGAAGAGCAACTGCTATCATATATATGCTTGACCAACCATTGGAAGCTCTCATCATTTGAATACCAGATGGCTTTGCATCAGCTCGAATTCGTTCTTGAATGGCCCCAGTCAGTCCATCCAACACCAATGATAAAAACAGCAATACTTCTCCCATACCAACTTCAAAATCTGGAGAAATTTGTTCTGTGCCTTCTTTCAACATAAAAATAACTATCCCAGTGACAATAAGAAAAACAAACAAATACTTCTTAAATGGATATGACTTTTTTCCTAACAATACACCAAGGATCATTACTGGTATTGGTTTAGCAGATTTTCCAACTGCTTGGGTCGGATATGGTACCCACTGAAGTGCCATATTGGAAGCAACCATTGCTAAGAGGTAAGTTACGGAAACGCTAGCATAATAAAGTTTGGCAGTCTTATCCTCAGCTTGAGTCCATATCAATCCAGCAATACAGGCAACTACATAGTTAATAATGCATTGAATGCAAACTAAAGTTATGGCAAATGTAAATTTTTCATGGACTATATGACTGCTTCCATCATTCTTTTTAGTTTCGTAACTATATTTACCACGAGTGACTGTCTCTTGGAGCACCCCATAATATAAAAAGGATACAAAAATTCCAGCTGCCAAGAAAATAAATCGTTGTTTGTTCATATTTGCGACTATTAATTAAACTGTTAAATAATAATAGAGTGACACATATAGAATTTATATATTCAACAGCTGCTTCTTTTAATACCACATCGCTCAAATTTAAATTATTCCACATCAACGTATATCATTATCATAACCTTTTCAACATAGAAAGGAAAAAGCGTACACTCAGTTAACACGAATATATTTATTCTGTGCCATTTCAATCATGTTCCAGCTAGGGATTTAGTTGAAGTTAAAAGACAATTTTAAACCTTTGAATAAATATTATAAGCATGTTATTTTTTCACCTTTCCATCCCTATAACCCAATCCTAAAGCGTTGCGTTTGGATAACTGCCCTATTGCACCAATCTTCTATGACGAAGAGCGGTAAATATGACGCGCCTGGGGTCGATATATTTTTGTGAAGATTCATTTTTTTCTAAACAGCGATATCCACAAACTTAACTCATTTACTAAGAACGAGATCTGGGCATATTTTGAGGAAACAATGCTATATCCAAACTGAAACCTGTCGAATTGTCAAACTCTCAGGATTCTGAGCATTGTACATAGCGGTTCGCTACCACCCTGTGTCCTAAAAGCTTTAATATCCATGTCAACTTAGTCGTTTCGTCATCTAAATATTCTGTGAAGATTTTAAAGTGCAGACATAACTGATTACAAGACGGTTAAAAGGCGGATGGACCCGAATTATCCGCGGTGGCGGCCGGTTTCTATTTATCGGTAAAAGTTTATGTTAAGTATGTGTTAAGTGTGACTAACAAAAAAAATTCATTCACGGATGTCGGTAATGGGCCAGTGTCTTGAATATTTTTGCCCATGTGGAAATCAGACGAAAAAACACGCGTTAACTGCTATACGCCGGTATTATTACATGCGCTCAGCACAAACCACATTTTTCGCATGCTTTGTAATTTTTTTCAAGCGTAAGATAACATAGCTTAATTTTTTCAACAAGTTCATTATCACGCAATTCTAACCTGAAAAGACGTTTTTGACCAACAATTACGAGTACACAAAAAACTCGGTGCTCTCCGGCATTGTTTGAAGATGGAAGTAAAAAATGGTTTTTATAGGATGTGATATTTGCGATTTAGTAGAATTTCATTCTCATGTTGATACCAAAAAGAGACTACCAATGATGCATTGGAAATTATTAAAGAAATAGTAAAATAATAAGTAAATAAAAAAAATATTGGGTTAAGTATATCATCCAATTCTTAAGAGTTCAGCCCAAATCGTTGAAATACGTATCCGTATCTAAACCCAAACTGCTTTGAACAGTCGAATCGGTTGGTTAAAATGAGAATTTGAAACCACCGCGTTGCGGCACTTATCTGTCCATGGGCCCTTGTCAACATTTTTCACCTTAGCTTCAAAAGCCCTGTATTATCATGCAAGGCCGCAATATATCTAGTACCTATATGACTGCGTGAAGTTCCGGTCGTAGTCGACTGCAAAACGTTTTAAATGGAAGACCCTATATATTCGATACTTAAAATTCTATAGTAACACACATTGTTTCCACTAATTTCAATAGGTTCTCAGACATCTTGGTAAAAACAAACATATTTTTTTACTATAATCCCCTCTGTCCATATCAGTTCAAAACCACAAATTTATATCACAGCGATTCTGCGCATTAAGAAAATGTGAAACAAATAAAATAAAGGGTAACGTCAGTGCTTTGATAAAAATTATTCTGGGATATCATTAAGCTCAGACTTTTACATCACAGACGTTTGGCATCAATTTAAAAACTTGACTACAACTGTTCATTTTTCATTACAGCTTGGAGCATTTTATCTTACAGGTGCAAGTGACTAAGAAAAATTGTTGCAATGTTGCAATATGGTCTGGAGTTCCGGGGTGTCTGCGTCTACAGTTCTCCGGGGCGCGTGGGTTTACCGCTCCAGAGAGTGAGAAACTAAACTGTAAGATAAAATATTTTAAGAACGGCCACTGAGAGAATGAATGAACACTGTCAAAATTATGAACATGAAGCTGTAGAGACTAGTTCCGTAACACTTATAGTGGTATGTTTTTCTTCATGTGATGGCCACAATAACGACACAAGCATTTGCAGCTTAGGAATAGAAATTAAAGTTATTATATAAATGCCATTTAATACCACTTTCTGGAAATTTCTATTTCAAATTCAAACAACTGTAAATACAAGTTTTGTTAAACACAGAAATAATGAACAATCACAAATTTTTTAATTTTTAGATCACAACTCCACCATATTACATTTTTCAAAAATTCATCATTGGTTTTCAACATGTCTACCTATTTATTTTTTCAATAATTGATCATTAATATATAAATATAAAGATAAACTCTAACAATATAATATATAAAATAACTATTTGTAGGTAACTGGTATTCATGGTTGGATAATCGATGTGATGAATTGACAGCATGATGATTTTTGAACTTTTTAACCTAAAAAGTTCAAAAGTTACTATAACTGAAAACACATAATTTTTAAATTGATTGTACTGGCGCCGTTTTATATTTACAGACTAATAATTAAAATTTATTTATACGAAGATAACCACCTACGTCGCTATCAGAAGAAAATTCGACTAGTTCAGAGGTTAATAATACACTGGAATTGAAAGAAATAGTGGATGAATAATGAAAGAAATAAAAATGAAAACCCTGGAGCATTACCAAGGTCAGTAATCTGAAGTTGATCTCGCTATTCCACGTTTTCTTAATGTTTCATCCATTCTTAATTGTTCACGTTGTAACTGCGCCCGGATCGCACCTAATTGTGTTAGTATGTTGCTTCTATTTTGATGTCCAGGGGAATTCGGGTGGGAATGTATAATGTTGCGCTGAATCGCAGGCACCTGTAAGTTTAAAAAAAAATGCCCTTCTTAAGTAGAAGACATTTTTTATTAACATAAATTACTTGCCTGCCAACGGTCTTCCATTCTACACATAGCATCTGATCCAACGACTTTTTGTGAGCTGAATGGAATGGCATTACGTAATTCTTTTGCTACTGGTGATTTTGCTTTTAGTATAGGCATGGGTAAACAGTCTTCGAAACGTAATGAAGAATTTTTTCTTCTAAGACGGGGACTCCTTTGTAAAAAATTAAGATCTTGTTGCGTTGCACTGTGCCTGAGGGAACCGATAATTGTAATAATGCACAAAATGAAAAAGATAAGAATTATAAGTGGTACGTTAAGCTTAAAAATTTATATTCATTTTATTATATTGCCATTTTATGTAAAACACTAAAGCTGTGGAGAGGCAATTGGTTAACTATCCATAATTGTTTACTTGTACTGGCAGGTAATTTACAATAAACGATAAATGTCGCACATAATTTTAATTCCCATTTATTTTTATTTTTTTCTTAAACATTTAAAGCAAAACTCCGCTTTCCCTATTAATAAAATCATTTAATCTCCAAAATATCCAAATAAAATGTTTAGTTCAGACTAAGAGATGTTATTATTTATTTTAAAATCTATCTTACTCACACTAAATATCAACTGTTTGAAAATGGTACAATAGTATCCTGTATCTCGCTCGAATTTATTTATTTTTCTACCACTTATCCTTAATTCATTTCTGGTGTTTTAGTGCAAATTCGGCATTTAACAATGGTGCTCATGTACCTGATCATCTGTACTTAATTCCGGAATATCGTTTACATAATATAATTATTATATGTATTAATTTTTACCTTCTTTGGTTTTCCGTAAGTCCACCACAAACGCTCATTGTTTCGAGTCGCTGGTTCAATGAATCTATCCTACTGAGAGAGTCAAAACGCTCAAATTTTTTATTACTACGCAGTGGTATTGTATCATATGAACTCAAAGAGTCCATTCGATTTAAAGTATCCTTTCTAAATATACTACTATATGAAGAAGATTGGAAACAGCTAGGTTTGTACCTGAAAAGGAAAACTAAAAACATACTATTTACTTATTTGCGGTTATACTTTCAGAGACCCGATGTTTGCCGCTTCTTCGTTAAGATAGTTTCGCCTTTGATATTTAAAATTTTCCGCTTCACCAATTATTTTTTCCCATATCTATCTCTAGGACAACCTTATTTCCTTATTTTTTGAAATAGAAATGAAATGATTACAGAAATTAAATAATTTAATAAAACGGAATGACGAACAGCTAAAAATTTTGCTATTAATGCTATTTTTTCAAAAAACTGAAAATGTCCCATAGTCCCATGTCGCTTATGTATATGACGTAATATTCATGTGTCTTTTTTGTTCAAAAATTGAATAAAATAAAGTAGTCCACTTATTCTGCAAGTGTGCATTATCTTCGTGTAGTTTAAACTTACCTAGAGGAAGATTCTGAGAACACAGACGTGGCTGGTATATTTGAAGAAGGTGCCCTGTGCAATATAGGAGGTGAATAGTGAGAAGAAGGGGTCAATGCTGAAGCACCAAGTCCCAGTGTGTCCAATCCACCACTTTCAGAATCTGCGTGTCTCCTCCATGAACGTTGTTGCATGTGCAATTCATTTTTGTGACGCATCATATTGTCACTATGTCTACGCATCTGGAAACAATCTTAAGTACTTCTAAGGCAGTGATCAATTATTAATTTCCTTGATGAAGAGAGTTGATACTGTATAACTGGGTAAAATTTGGAATAATTTATACAGGCTCACCAATTCACTTCTACGGGCTCTCTTTTGCTCCTCCTCAAGTTGCTCTTCATGCATCCTGAGAAGTTGTTGTTCAAGCCTTTTATTTTCTAACTCTCGTTCTCTACGGTCCTGTTCTTCTCGCATTGCTTGAAGTCTCTGCTTTTCTTCAATTTGCAGCTGGAGATCACGTTGGTACCTTTCTCTTTTAAACCTTTCCTGAATTTATAAAGTTAAAATAATGGCAAAAACCCATCGTAACTTTAACAAAACAATGAAGTTTACTTACCCTTTCTACTTCCTCAGTTGGATCAGAATAACTGAAGCCATCCATAAATGTTGGTGTATATGAGGTAGGGTACAAATCTTGCACGTATCTAGCTACAAAATGTTGTATTTTTATTTATCTTCAATGCTGTAGGATATATTCTAGCACTCATTGTAAGCTATGTTAATGTAAAAATTTACTGGATAACGTGTATTAGCTATTACAGGTTCAGTGGGTTCTGTCCTGTACATTTTTAATGTAAGCGATATTTTTTAATATACTGGATTAATCGCATAGGAAGAGCTGCTATGCATTTTTTTAACAAACATATTTGAAAATCGATAAATAGCAATAATTGTAATTCACAAGTAACTGGGAAACTGAACAAATCTACTTGCGAAAAGCACTAAACCGATCACACTGAGTAGTTTATTTTACTTTGGATCACGGGTCTCTGAGTGATAACAAAATAAGGCGTCCTAACTGTTGTACATTTTACCGTACAGATAACCAAAATAATGACATATAATATACTCTATTACTTACCTCGCGGGCTTCCCGTCCTTCGATTTGACAAAATACTCTTTGGCTTATCCATCGCAATCTGTTGATTATTTTTTATGAGTAGTAGCTCATTTTGGGCACTAGTTAATCTTTGATCTACGTGGTAGAGATGCTGGTTGCGAAAAGCTGCATCCACTAACTCATCTGTCATTGAATGGGAACTGGTCTCGTTTTCAGGAGAAAAATGTGTACGCAAATCATATTGAACCTTTGAAAAAGTAAAATGTGTTAGCTGCAATATTTAAAAGTGTGCCAACTATCTTAAAACTAGTTTAATTATTTTTTGCTTACCATGTGTTTAAATTAGCAGATTACTAAATCGTCTACTCTTTGAATTATTTTAGGATTATTTTAAGATGTGAATGCATATTCTATTGCCATTGATAAATCGTGAGGTTCAAGGACTTTTCGGAAAATAAAAACATAGATCAAAGTCAAAAAAGTCATCGTTCAAATATTTGTGCTTTGATTGGCTTGGTGTCAATATTGAATTTCAATATCAGTGATATATTTGGGAGGTTCTTTTGTGAGCAAGATAGGATTGAAGACATATAGTAGTGTAGTTGTGTATAGTGAATAGTAATGTGACTTTGTATTTTGGGTTCCATTGTGTTTTACGTTTACGTAACTTTTTTTATATATAATTTTACCGTCGCCGTTTGACGAATACAAATAATTGTATAAGATTTTAAAGCAATATGATTCAACACGGATTTCAAACAATGGTCAAGAAATACAGTCAATACATATTCTGGTAACCAGTATATCAACAGTGCCCGAAATATATATATTATTATCAACAAAAGTCTATTCCAATATTTACGTTAATTTCCGATTAAATTGATTTTCAGACTATTTCGGAACAAAATTCAACTAAAACTAAGTAAAGCCATGTATATTTCGAGCACTGAAAATACTTTTTTTTCGGCTACTTTTGATAAATAGGTGTTTAACCACAATAGATATGTAATATATACACTGTACTTTATTAAATATTTACAAATTACCTATTTTTCCATTCGGTTAGTTAGCTTTTCAAAACTTTTTACAATTAGTAATATTTCTTTAGAACCTTAACATGCAATTAAGGACAGCCTATACAATCCATTCACAAGCTTTACATTTTTCTTTTCTAGTGCTCCTAATAGTGTTAAACTACCACCATCACCAAAATGAGAAAAAAAAACATATTCATATTCTGCAAGTTTTTTTGAGTATATTCTCAAGCTCGTAATAATAATTCTTGTTAAGTATTCTTGCTTTGGCATTATTTTACAGCGCCATAGTACTTACTAATGCGGTATTGACATTCTGTATATCAGTTTGTACCCACTTTGTGGAAACCAAGCCCTTTTCTTTAGGTGTTTCTCTTATGGCTTCTAAGCCAGTCGATTGGCTTGCTGATGATTCAGCGGTATTTGGCTGTAAGTTTTATAAATTTTGAAGAGACAATTTATAACATGGAGTTAAACAGTGAAACGTGATTGCATATCTAAACGGAGTTGTTAACGTTTACTACTTAATAGAACTTAGAATAAATATATGTATACAGTGTATTCGTAATTTTGTTTTTTTTTTGTGAAAAGCATCAGAAATTTTTATAACGCTTAAAGCGCTTTTAAAATGAAGATCCAAGGCCTACTGCGATTTTTTTATAACTGTAATAGATCATATTTGTTCCATTTCAAATCTGCCAATGAGACGTTCGCCGAGAACATTTCAAAACAACTGTCAAAATTCAAATTTCTGCCCATATTGCTATTAGGTAAGTAGCTATGATATTTTCCTAGGGGACAGCCCGCAAGGCGCACATACCCCTAAATTTCACAAAAATAACCTGAACGTTGCGACATTTACACCGATCTACACACACTTAAGTCGTTTTTGCCTGATGATTTAACGGGAATACTATCATAAAAATGCCAGACCGAAATTGAAAACTATCGAATTGACGAACCGCCAGGCTTTTATCGGTTACAAGCGAAATTTGAAATGACAGCTCTTATTGGTGGAAAACAAGATTTGAAATGACCGCGTATGCGCATACTGAATGGCCTTCTGGACATTTTTTTTTCAGGGTGGCTTCAAAAATTCCTGGATTATCAGCCACAGGCAATGCCTCGATATATCGTGTTAATTGGGTACGTTTTTAATTATAACTTCATACTTCACACACACATACCAACTTAAATTATTTGTAAAAAGTAAGTAAAATTTTTTTACAAGGCCCAACTCTTAACGTATTTTTAATTTAGTGTAATTAACTTTTTCATTGGGCCATGCTTTGAACATTGAACATCCTTAAGACATGAAGGTGTTAAATTTCTTCAGTCAAACAAATCATAAATGATCCTGATTTTGAGCATTTCTTCATATGTCAAAAATCAGGCTTTCTCATTTGTTTGACTAAAGAAAGACACTTTCCTGTCTTGAGGATAAAGGGCCGTTTTTATTGATCCCCTTGCGGTCGTTCGTTTTCATATCTAAAAGGCAGCTCACGTAATGCACCTAATTTAGGTATAAAACAAGGATGGATCCTGCAGAACCACCACCTTTTTATGGATTTGTGGCCTGTAGAGTAACAATAGTAACCGCCTAATGTACCTAATTGTTGGTTCATTGAATTTTTGAATTACATTTTCAATGATATAACCAAAATAAATTTATAATATTGTTAAAAAAAAGTACCTTAGCCAAGTGCTTCAAACAGTCCCTCCTATTACGCTCAGCAAAAAGGGCGCGGCGCAGCTCATACTCGCCCACGCCCACGTGTGGCGCCGCCCTCAGAGACGTACCGCCGCTTGCAAGTGGTTCGTATTCGCTATGTCGCCGCATAGACGGGGAAAGTGGTATTTCGTTGACTGCCCCGCCCACCGGGGATAAGTTAACGCGGGATGGTACCCCCGCATCCTACGAAAAAAAAGACCTGGACACAATGAATATAGTCATAAACATATAAAATGTATAGTTGTAAAACGAGAAATTCAGAAAAAATATAATTTTATACCAACGTATCCTTTGGTATTTTCAACAATAATTGATAATAGTTTAACTTTAGGTGTAATAATAATAACAACAGTAAAGAAAAACTTAATAACACGTAACATTTTGATTGATTTTTGTTTTTTTTAGAGATTAATGCGTGACGCCGAACAGAAAATGATTTGAAGACTTGAATTAAATCTGAACACTGATAATGGGAAAAAGCGTCATATACAAACATTTGCATAAAACTTTTTACGTATTTTTCAGAACCCAATAAGAAAGAACAGCGTCCGTTTTTCCCTTAGGGACGCTTCGAGACGTGCTAAAAATCCCATCTGAGATCTTCCGCCATATTGTAAGAGGGGTGGCGCCCTTGAATCGCTAGAGATATACGAAAGATTACTGAGATGTTCTTAGTTCATATACAATGAATGTTGCCGCCATAGAATAAAACTTATAAATAAAGTAATTTCGAGCTCAATCTGGAATATTTACGAGAAATTTTTATCATGTGACTGCCTCTACCGAACGGTTCAAGGATTATTGGGGAATCCAAAAGAATCTTATGTTTAGGAACCATAAGCCAGATATTCCACTAGCGAATCTACTAGGAAAGGCTCTAAAACAATTGTGTGTAAGATGAATGGTTGTGCAATATTTGGCAGCATACTTTCCTTACTCCAAAGTAGCAAAACAAATTAAATTAATCCGACTGTATATAGTATACAGATCACCTGATATCAAACACAAGTATATAAAGGAAGGTAGAGAATTAAACAGAGAGTGACAGAAAATATGAGCATGAAAGATGTCAACTTATCTAACAATTTATCAATACATATATACGACCCCGTTAGTCCGATACCATCAGTGCGGTACAGTGTGTCCCATTTAATAAAGCTAACGTCGTGGGGCTTTCGTAACCTAACACTACATTTTTATGAAAAGACAGGGGATACAAACAGAAATGTTATAGCTATCTTAGATATTTAGATACAGGATTAAAAAAAAATTTCAATTTTTAGACATATTTTGTAGAAAGGTTAAAAATGGTCTGGATAAGGTAGCATCCAGTGCCGTAGTCAGTTTTCTACTTAAAATCAATTTTTGATATACATATAAATTAAACATAGGAGTTACAACAACAAGGAAGTGGAGGCAGAAATTAAAATAATAATTAAAGTCCAGCCTGTTTGATAACTAAATTATGTTAGAAAAACACCTCTTTTTCACACACATAAAAAAATCAAAGATATCGGCTTTGTGTTTGAAATAGCTGTTATGTGTTTTATATTGTTGAAAAGCTCAGAACAAGCATAATAAAATTTTTAAAAGACATACAGGGTATTCAATTTTAAAAAACACAATTTTAGGTTCTATATCAAAATCTGTGAGTTTCAGAAGAAACTGAATACGCCACTGGATTCTACATAAAAATCCTATCCCGAACAGTTTTCACTATTTCCCTACCGCATAACCGAGCTACAAAAGGTGTCTAAAAATGTAACATATTTCAAATAATCGTGTCTATAATAATCCAAGATAGGTATATCATTTCTGTTTGTGCCCACCAAAGCCGCAACACACTATCTTTATTAATATGGGAGATACGCTATAAAAATGTACTGTACAGTAAATATTGCCGAGATGGCACATGGTGCGCATAAAATATACCTACCCTTTCCCCAATATTCTACTAATGAAATCGGTTATCTGCCTCGCTCATAATTTACTTTTGCGTGTATTGCCACAAATTATTAAACTACCACCATTAATATTTTTTTGAACCAATTTCTATTTAAGAGGAAATGTGGCAAAAACTATCCTTGTGATAAGAACATAATTTACTTTTGCGTGTATTGCCACAATTTATTAAACTACCACCAGTAATATTTTTTTGAACCAATTTCTATTTAAGAGGAAATGACGCAAAAACTATCCTTGTGATAAGAACAATTGGACTTCCAGCAAAGTTTATTTCAGAAAATACTAACCAACTGAGCAACATCAAATATTACACTGAGTTAAAATTTCCAAAATAGAATATATAAATATTACCTGTGAAAACCAGTGTCGATTTTCCCTAGAAGCGCACTTGAGAATGGCCGCGTCTTCCTGGTTTCCCTTAGGACAATCCTCATTCCTTCCTAAAGCATTTTCCGTTCTGTTTTCTTTACACTCGTTATATTCATCTATCACACAACTAGAACCCTTTTCCCCCTCAGGAATGTATAACTCCTGAAACCGATAAAATCGAGTTCGTTAGCAACAAACCAACACTGCCTTCGAAGATACCGAATCGACTGATATGGAAATCGAAATAAGATCAAACAGGACACCCAAACGATGCCAACTCTATAAGCGTCGGCGTAGCGTAGTTAACATACACGGGGATGAAAACAACCGGAGACACGGTTTGCAACGATGTCGCGTATTTCAATCGATTTTGCCTGATGATTTTGCGAGAAGATACCATTTAAAATACATAATTGTATTAAAGAATTTACGTTTTCAAGAGTAGGAGGGGAAATAATTTTTAAACAGTTATGTCTTTTAATCGAATTCAACTGTCTTTGTACATAGTAATTAAAATCGACATAACGATTTGCATTTTTTGTGAATTTTCTCGATTTGAAATCGAGGTTGAAAAAATTATATAAAAATCAACATTGTTAAAAAAAGTAACTGATTAAGTAAATGATATATAAACAAAATAAGCGTAATAAACACAATTTCGCTAGAATTCTGCATTTTCAGTAATGTTCAATATATTGGCAAAATTCTAAATGGTAAAAAATAAACCAAAACACGAATATTAAAAAATTTGTCCTCACAATTCTGTGACCAGAACTGTGATGTAAAATGCGTACTACAAGACACAACTTAATCTTTTTTATTACTTTTTATCAAGGATTAATCTCTTTTTGCAAGAAATAAAATTTTAAAACTTAATATATTTTTTTACGATGGGCCAGTTATTGTTATTTTAATTCGTTGCAATATTTGCTTAAAAAACCGCAAAATTGTTTTAATGCAGTTTGTTATTATTACGATCCGACATCACCGCCGAGATCGACGTCGCCAACGCTACTGTGATCCACTTTCTCATACGAATCAATATCAAGGCAAGGTCGTTCACAGACCCGTAACGAACAGTTTCGAACAAAAGGTAGACAATAAGCCTAAAATCATTATATTTATTATTACATCGCTACTAGAGATACAGAGGAACTGCCTTTGCCGATAATACAGGAACTTGTGAAGCAACTATGAAAAAAAAAATTCAGAAGGTCCATTCAGTATAACCATGCACGCGATCTACAAACTCGCTTTTACGTTTTACGTTTCTACGTGACAGATAATCAGTATTTTCTTAAAATATACCGAGATCTCATAAAATGTTTTGGGAACAAGAGTTAAGTGTGTGGAAATTGCCGCTTAGAAAGAAAATAGCGCAAAGTCCAGGTTAGTGGGTGAACTGTAGAGGCATGCGCAGAAAATCAATCCCTTCTTTACGAAAATATCACTGCCGCCTGCGGCGCATCAATTTTTACCATAGTGGGGCCACTATATATCTATTAGCTTTATGGCATTATCTAAAGCCACAACGGGCTGGTTATATGACCTTTTCACATCCACATTTTTTTAAATAAAATTAATTAATAAAAAATACAATCTGCAAAGGACATTTAGTTCCTTTCCGTCAATTGCGCGGGAAAACATTTACTATCTAAAGCGTGACGTCACTTGTTAGATAGCTTTCGAATTGTTTTGCAATTTTTATTTTTAGAAAGATGTTACTTCACAGTTTAAAGCAAGCTGAATAATTAAACAGGGTGTCCCTCGACATGACTGGCATTGCTTGGGAGTGTGTTGCGGAGGGACGTAGGAAACTTGCCTGTTTCTCTCCAACATCGATGGCCATGGCTAAACACAGTTCTACAAGACACTCTATGAGTAGGAAATCGTTGACGATATTAATAAACTGCCGCTCGTCCGTTTATATAATACAATGCACAAACAAAGTGAATGTCGGCCTATTCTTAACACACGAAAATAAACGGGCAAAATTTATAACCTATAAATCTAACACGCCTTTGCGCCATTCTGTATAATAAGTAATTTTAAAAATTAACTTCCACTTTTCCCGAAATTTTTTTTTTAAGTGTTTGCGCATCGCCGGCATGTCAATATTTTAAATTTATATGTAGCTAGTTTGATTAATTGACGAATTTCCAGGTCGGGAGCCCAAAAATCACCATCCTTAGAAGAAGTTAGTTATTTTATTCGAAAATGCCCTTTGCTGTTTTTTAAAACACTTTATTAATAAATAAAAATAAAATAAATAAAGAAAAAAGACTGCACCATGTGAAAAAATCTTACTATTTTGATTGGTATATAAACTCAAAACTGCCAAATTTTCAATTAACGACTAGATTAAGAACTCCACTAATAAATTCTGATAATGGTTTATAAAACGAAATTAACATTTAAATTGCTGCTGAGTGCATTTCTAAAAAATTTTCACGTTATAATTTGACCCATATAGCTACTAGATAATATATTGGCCCTACTACAGTAAAAATTGATCGATATTTTTGCGCAATTTTCTTTCTACACAGCGATTTCCACATATATATTTCCAAAAATAGCAATGAATATTTCGTTAAGCATTTTAAAAGCAAAATTTGAGAACTATCTTAAGGGAAACTTAAGTATTTTTCCCACTAAAGAAAATGCGATTATAAGGCTAAACGGCAATTGCCTTTTTAAAGTGAAGCCCTTTTAAAGAGTACTCGTGATCGTTATACAAAGTTGAGTTCTTGAGTTGGGTGAACTAAAAAAATGGGTGATCAATTGTTAAATTTTCTTGCATTTTTTGTACCTCGTTAAAAATTTCTTGAAATTTTTGCAGCCATTCCAACCTTATTTTCTCGTCCGCGATTTGCAACTTCTGATCTGCTAGAAATATCTTGATATCACCTGCCATTTTCGCCTTTTTTTGTGGCGTTTGATGGCATAAAGTAAAATTTTTACGGTTATAGATTTCAATACTTAAATATGCCAACATAACCTTCAAGTTCAAGTTCAAGTATGCGTTACACAAAAAAATGTTGGGCTCGACTGCTAGGATCATTCGCCCATTGCCGACTTCCGTCGAGGATCTTCGCTTTTGGTCATTGACCAACACGTACAAAGAAGACATATAACCAATATTTGCTCAACTAGCAAAAAAACAAATTTGACCGATACCAAAAAAAACCGACACCCCCCGCTTCCACCGCGGACCATCCGGGCCCATCCGGCCACCATACCGGCGTGAACGGGGAAAAACGACGGGGCCGACGACGATTATAACTTTAAAACATGCACTGAACACTAACAACACTAAGTCCACACAGTGGAAACCGATATCAAACTTTTGAGGACGAATACAAGGGATTCTGTCGGGAGCGAACGGAGGTTGAACCGCCGCGTGCAATGCTCCACCACAGAATCCCCGCCAACATAACCTATTCTTTTATTCTATAAACTACGCTTTGTTGGGCAAATTGTCAGAATCATTCGACCGATTAACAAAACAAAAGTAATTGCATTTCCTGATGTATGTATGGACATCTTCAATAAATTCAAAATCGACATTTATCCATATCAGAAAAAATGGCTCCTGCGATTTACACACGAAACGCCTCACCCCATCCGGCATGGATAACGACGGTTTGCATCCGACCAAATCGTTACCAGATATATACAACTCTCCACACCTTTAACTTGTTTTACGAAAACATTTAACGAGGTCTTGGCACATTTTGAGAAAATACCGCCGTAAAAATGCCGCATCCACACTTATTGACGATTTGTCAGCGGGCATATTGGTTTTCGAAGGTCGCAAGGCCATTGAATAAAAATGAGATTATAAATCTCGAGTACGTGCATGTTGGATGGAACTTTTTTTATAGTTCCTTCATAAGTCATATGGTGCAACCATATAGCTACTAGACATTAGGGATATTCCGATACTAGTAAATACGAGTAGGTACTCGATACTTTTGATTCGATACCAAGTATTTATAGCATCGAATCAATCTTGCGATACTTACTCGGTATCGGTATTAAAAAAAAAAACGAACGGATCAGACACACATAATCTCTATCTGATCTATGGTGACGCGTTGTCTCGCGCCAGCCAAGCCGAACTCGTCCTACTTCACTCTACCGAGTCCGAGCCAAAAGCGAGAAAGATTTTTTTTCATTGTCAACCAACATAAATTGTCAAACATACATGAGATTGCTTACGAATAATTTTATTTATTGTAATCATCGGCTTATTATTCCAATGTTATCATGGAGCTTTTTGTTAAATGTACGTGCTTAACGTGACGCAAACCTTTATAATAAAAAAGTTTTCTTTTCCTTCTTAATTTTGTTTCAATTATTGTCCTTCAACGTTCATTGTTAGTTTCCTTAAAGTAAATAAAAAATAATAAAGTGCTAAAAGTGTCGATATGAGTAAGTATTGATACTTTAGGAGTATTTATTTGAGTAGTATCGAAAAAAGATTCGAGTACTATCGAAATGAGAAGGTATCGATACTTTAATAGTATCAGAACATCCCTACTAGACATTTAGAGGCCCTGCCTATGCTAAGCTACAGGAACTCGTGAAGCACTATGTAACAAAATTTTGAGATCTGTTCAATATGCGCATGTGCGAGATTTGAAATTGCATTTTTCTGACGTTCGAGGACCTATAACCAACAACCAAGCTGGTCGATAGCATGTCGTCAATGTTTGGATGCTGAATTTTTACGGCAAAATATGTCGGAATCCCATTAAATTTTCAGGCACAAAAGGAATTAAGGTGTAGAAAGTGTTAAAAGAAATTAGCGACAAGTGCAGAGTTAATATTATGCAGAATTACAGCACACGGATCGGCGTCCTTCTGGAAGTATTTTAGCGTTTTGATTCTTTAAGCCCTATAGACACGATACCAGCTAATTTTTTCCGAATTTGTTTGTTTTTATAAACGTACTGGTTTAACCGCCATTGAAAGTGTAAATAAAGTCGAATTCACGAAATGTGACTCTAAAAGTGTAAATATAACTGAGGTACTAGATATCGCAGAGGAAACATCTAAGTGGAAAAAAGTTCCACAGGCACCGCATATAAACAGAACGCTCATTCTTTCATCGCAAGTCAAGTAATTCTCACATAATTATGGAAAACGTCAATGGATAATTTCGTTAAAAACTGTAGGTATTGGAAAATGTAACCAAGGAAATTAAAAACTAGTATAAAACAAGTCAATAAACAATTAGTCCTAAATATAACAGAATTAAATAACCAAACAGTACTTCTCCGGAAAAGCTGGGGATTTTTTGAAAGTGTAAGGTGACATGAAACATTATGTGGCAGATGTCCTATTAAGAAAAAATGTTTTCCAGATGCACACTCGATACTGGTTTTGTAGACAAGATTGTAGTTTATGCCACAACTATGACTTACCCTTAATTATAATAGCATTTTATATAGTGTTTTATTAACTTATTTTGGTTAGTATAAATAAATACATGAATTATTTAATAAGGCCTTTATTCAAAAGAATAAAATATATTGTTGCTTATAAACACAATAAGAAATTACATAAAAATATATGCATGCATATTTACTTTTTATTTTTCAAGGAAATTTTATATTACTTGATTTGAGAGGATCACCACTTTTAAAAATTGCAAAAAAAAGATGTGAGCAATAAAAAAATGTTCATTTACTATTTTATTATTACATTAAACTATTAATAATTATTAGTAGAATAACTAAAGCAAAATTTCATTAATTGTAAATTCGAAACAAGTTTTAAATCAGAAGCACTTTACTTGTTGACAATGTTACTGTGCCTTAAGTTCTTTTTAAAAACTGATGACCCCTTCTCTATAACTTGTAATGTTGTTTTCACTACCACTGAAGATTAAAGATTTGCTGGTTTCTGCTCTAGTTCCACCTAGTAATGAAATTATTATTTTGACTTGTTGGAAATAAAGCTTAAAAATGCCCCCCTATCAACAAAAATTTCTCTTCTGTTCAAGATGGAAAAATTTCAGTCCCAAATTATGCAGGAAAAATAACAATATTTTAGACTGAAAAAAAGTTGGTAACATATTACCAACAACATATTTTTGAGTAATGTGAAATTATTTGATACATTTTATCAGTCTGGTCAGAAAACAAAGGTACCATTTGGCACTTTAAATATGGGCTGTTAAGTACCATCGGCAGATAGAATGACCAGAAAACAAGTAACCCGATTTACAATTGACCACAATATCTACCTAAAAGACACTGCACTGCTTACTTTATCAAAATTTTACCACCTCTTCTATAGCTTGAAGAATTGATATGACCGCCACATCTTCTAAAGCTATCAGCCTCCCTGGCAGCTCCATTTTTGACAAGCAATGTCATCCATTGTGTCCTTACAATTTCATCTTTTGGTAAAAATAAAATGTAAATTGAATGACACTCCCTAGATAAGAAACAGGCATATATGTAAGTCTACAAAAAAAAGGGGGATAGTGAACTTGGATCAGTCCCAAAACTTGTACTAAATATTTATTCACACAAGGGAAGTAGGTGATACTTATGAGTTAAGGACATAGCTTACTCTAGAGCTGCGCAAAGGTTGGGAAAATGGTCGGAGACTAACCAATATCTCATGGTCCCAAGTTGTGCATATAAAATTTTTTCCTACTCAAGTTGTCCCGAATCCAACAAGCATTTGTACAAAATCAGTATTTTTTGTTAGAAGTGGTTCTATTTAATCAGTATCAAAATGTGTATGTACATACTGCAGTTATCACTTACCAATGAAGTACTCCACTTACAAATGAAGTACCCGAAAATTTTGAATAGTTGCGTAGAATTCCTGGTAATTCTCAAAGATTTCCTGCAATGCCTTCAGACCTCCGAACAATATCCTGCTGATTTATCGTTTAAGTTCTTCCTGTTGCAGCTGAACTGATTCTGGTAATTCCCCACTTTCTGCGGTAACAGTTTCTGTAATTTTTGACCAACCGACAGGCAATTTTGTTTTCACTCAGTGTGACGATGACAAACGAAAACTTTCCCACATTGAGACTTACAAAGATTTGTAATTATCAAGGAATATTTCTTGTGATTGTTCTAATAAAACTTCAAGCTTAATTGTTTTCTTACATTTCCTGTAATTCTTATACACAAAAACATATTACCTAAATATCTTTCTTATGTAGCTATTTAAGTGTACCTTGCAGTTTGTTAAATCCCTCGGGTTTGTCTGAGATCGTATTGGGTCCTCATATTTGCCACACTTGTAATTTCATGAAGGAGCAAGTATTGAAAGCACCAATTATACAAGTTTGTGAGTCGAAGTCCTATAGAAACCCATTTAAAAATTTTTAAATTAACTTGTACATAAGGCAACACTTACCCGTATATAGGCACATTCTTTTCCTTAGTTTTGACCACAATCACAAGTTTTTCACAAAAACACGAAAAAGGGACGGAAAGAATCACAAAAACCATAAAAGGTAAACAACACACACTGTTATCATTCTCTGGCAATAGGAATTCCTAGCTCGGCATTGCCAATTATATTCTGATTTTCTGACTGATTTTGCGTTTTTATGAAAATTGGTCAGTTTTTTCAGAAAAATTACGGTAATGTGATAACTTAGTTGGCGGGGACGCATGCACATACGATCCACGCCTTCTCTACGAGAATATCATAGTCACCTGCGTCGCATCACTTTTTACCGTGGTAAGGCCACTATATTATATAATAGCTATATGGGTACAACCATATAGCTATTAGATAATATATGTAATAAAAATTGATGCGCCGCAGAATGCAGTGATATTTTAGTAAAGATAGGAATGATATCCAGCTCATGCATACATATGTAGTATTCTTGTAATTGTAACTGACAGTTGACAGCTAGAGGAAGAAGAGAACGGATGAATGGTAAGCGTTCTATTTGATCAAAGACCGGTTGATAAAACAAAACAAACACCACCTCTTAATTCAAAAAGGAGTTAATGTTGGTAATCGTAAAACATACCAATAAAATGTATCCTACATCTATGGTCCGAGGAACGAATGTAGACTAGGGTCTAGTTAAGAAGGAGGTTATGTCAGAATAAGAGACGCGTGGTTACTTTGTACTTTTGGATTCATCTTTTTTCA